CTCTCCCCCCCAAAGCGAAAAAGGTAGTCGGGCGGGGCGGGTACAGTGCTTGATTGGTTGACAATGTTGCGGCGCAGGTCGGTTTTTGTCGCGGAGAATATTGCCGACTGTAGCAAAAAACCGCACGTGTTGCCCGCGGATGCGGTCATTAAATAGCCAATATACTTATCAACCTCCATATGCTCTTCTTTGGATGACAGACGACTGGGGAGCACTGCTAGAGCAGTGCAGGACATTAAGGCACCATCAACATGGGAGCGTTGGCCGTACCGGAGGCGGATGGAGTGTATGTATAAGTTGCTGAGCGAAGATGCAATAGATCTCGCGTCCTGGCCGGATATTCTCAGTCAACGTTGCAGAAACACGGCACGTGGAGTAGCGACCAAGTCTCGGAAACCGCAGCAGCCAGCGACCGCAAACTTCACAGAGTCATGTGCGATAAGCAGCACTGCTTCCATTATCACCGCTAGGTACAGTATAGGTACGGCTGTGCCGATGGTAGTATCGCCGAAAGGGTGTGCGGGTAGCGAGCGGAGGACAAACGCTTGATACAACGTCTATTGCCAAAATTGGATCTTGTAATTGGCATGCAAAGTGAGCACTGAGGGGGGTTCGGAACTGTAAAGTGGGGACAGGAAGCTCAGGAAGGCACAGACGTGCAAGCTAAGGGTACCAAGGGCAAGCGCTGTGTACAGAGCACACGGGAAAAATGTTTCTTGCGGCGAAGGGACCGTCTCTCGAGTTCCTGTGGCGTCTGTTTCCTGCGGTCGTTTTCTGGCCCTTTTGCGCCGCGAGCGGAGTGTGCGGACCTTACCCACTGCAAAAGTTTTGAAGCAAACGACTAATTACCTGCTTGTAGCCAATATCCGGGAAACCAGATCACTGAGCATACACTCGGAATACTCATGCCAGGGGTTTGCCGAGAAGCCCAACATGTAGCTCACACAGTATGCACATAGTGAGCGCGTTTGCAAAGTGTGAGCATGATGCAGTGATGCATGGGGACTGTGTGCCAGTTTGGTGCGGAGCGTGAGGGGGGTGTGCGGATGATTCGAAAATAAATTAGCTGACCACATCTTGCCCCTGTGTCGCACAGTATTTGTGGTCTTCCGAGCCAGCACTTCACCCACCACCCACCCAAGACCATGCCCTCGTGCGACAATTGTCGCAAGGGCCACCGCAAGTGCATACCAAGCACAAAGCTTACTTGCCAACTTTGTGAGAAGCGCGGGGTGCCCTGTACCTATTCGTCCCGTGCAGCCGGTTCCGCCGCCGCGTTTCAAACCGCTCTCGTGGCTGCCTCCCACAACATGACCGTGCTTGTCAACCCGACCAGTTTGGACACAGCGAACAATGCTCTTAATTGGCACAACCATCCCGCACCCACGTTGGGCCTCGAACAGCCACCTGCCAAGCGGCACCACATACTGCCGCCAGGCAACGTCCCACCCTCGCACATACCGTACCCTTCCATCCTCGCACCATCACTTGCAGCAGCTGTGGGGCGGACGGATCTGCATCAGCTGTTCTTCACGTTTGTCAACCCCACTCTTGGTGCCGCCCAGCTGAGCGGCTCGTTCCAGGCGCTGGCCCGATTGCGGGCTCGCGAAGCTGTCTCGGCGCAAGACCTCGACGTGGACAACCTCACGCTGGACCTCCAGCTTGTCACCATTTCGGCAGTCGCGCAGCGGCTGTGTGGCGACATGCCCGGGTCGGACCAGTCGCTCTCGACGGCCAAGGCGGCGCTGATCAACTGCTTAGATCACGCGTCGCGCGACATGGCCATTATTCACCTCCTCCTCGCCTCCCTCTACGCCGGGTTCGACGAGTCGCAGTTTGCGGCCCACATCGGCATGGCGTGGTCAATTCTCTCGATCATTGCCTCGCGGTCGGGCCGGACAATTTCGCGGGCAAAGGACATATCGCCAGCCGAGCTCCCGCCGCTCATGCGGGCCTTTGCTCAGCTTGACAATCCGACGCGGTGCGCGTCGATTGCCTCGCTCACGACGGCGCGCGATGTCTTCCGCGTCCGCACCCTCCTCGGCTGCTCGCGTCACCTCCTCACCGACGTCTGGTCGCCGCTGCCTACCGTGTGGTGGACCGCCATCGCTGGTACCATTTTCCCGCTTCTTGAGCGCTACCTCCTGTCGCAAGCCTTGGTCGACGTGCTGCCGCAGGAGACTGCACCGCTTGTTGCCAGCATCCACGCTCTCCCGCTCTTCACAACACTCTCCGGTACGGCATCGGCCAGCGGCGACGCGCCGGCGCCCATGAGCCTGACCTCGCCGGCTGCCGCTCCCCAGCCGATGATGACCTCGCCGCAGATGACTCCTCACCCGCATCCGTTTGGGGTCACCCCAGTCAGCAACGCGGGTACTGGCCTGCGTGGCTTGCCACAGTCGGCAGCGCCAGGCAACTTGCCAAGCGGCGTGTTTTCCACGCCGTTCCCGGATCCGGCGTCGCGCTCAACCTCGATGTGGACGCCGTCTCTTCAGCCGAATCTTGCCGGCGGAGTTCCGGCGCGCGGCGTCGCACCGCCGCCAATGGCTTCGGGCTCAAAGTCGGACACGTCCCACTCGAACTCCAACTCCAATTCAAACTCGAGGACGCCGGCTCCGTTCTCGAACACGTTTTCGTCGTCGGCGAGCGGCACGTCGGGTCTGCCGGTCTCAGGCGGCTCGATGGCCATCCCGACCTCATTCCCACCGCCGTCGTCATCAGCGTCGTCGTCGTCGTCGGCGACGGGCGGCCAGACGCGGCCACCGGGCGGCTCGAGCTCGGGCTCGGTCTCGAGCTCGAGCTCGACCGGGACGATGCCGGCGATCAGCGCCGCGACGCCGCTTGCGGCTGCTGCGATGGGCCTCAGCTACCACAACCTCGGAACTACGCCGACACCGGTCGCCCGCACCCGGATCTCGTCGTCACCGTCGTCGTCGAAGAACACGCCGTCAGGCTCGAACACGACGTCTGGCTCGGGCTCAGGCTCCCGCTCAGGCTCAGGCTCGGGCTCGGACTCGGAGTCGATTTCGCCAAACAGCAACAGCCAGAACCGGCATGCGGCACAGGGACACGGACAGCAGCAAGGCGCCAACCAGGGATCGACCTCGTCGTCCTCATCCTCGCACACCCGTGCGCCGTCCGTCAACACCTCGACTTCGCCCCTGACCAAGGCACCCGAGTACACTGTCCTCCTCGCCATCTTGCCGCTCATCTCGACAGCGGCCAACTGGCTGGAGAACGACCTGCGAAACCACCAGGCCCACTCGAAGCTCTGCGTCGGCGTCTATACGCAGACAATGGCGGCGTTCCTCCAGAACGTCGGCGCGCACATCCACTACGTCCGCACCGGTGGCTTTGACACCCGGCACGCACTGGATACAGCTATCGCTGCAATCACCGCCATGGATGCTTCTCTCCGCTACGGAGGCGATCTAATGCGCCTTGTCATTGCCTTTACAGGCATTGTTGCCATCACCGCCTCACGCTGGGACATTATTTTCAAGCTCATCCCCCTGGCGGCCTCGAGCGAGGCCTCCGTTCCCAATCCAGTCGTCTTCCTGGCGCTCTCCCGCGTTGCGGCCGACTACGACATGGCGACGTCCGAGTCCCGGCGATGAAGATGTGCGTAATAGCACGCACTACGTTGCGGTCGAGGAAGGCTTGCCACGACATCTAGCAGCGCATTCTGACCACTCGCCTAGACGTTGGCCTCGTGTTGGTGATGTACGCGGGCGTCACGGCTGATCTATTGGCCATGACGGCCACGGTGACATGGCCAAGACGGCGCCAAGTCACCTGCCGCCACCTGTGCCTGCATCAGCATAGTGTACGTAAACTCGTTGGCTGCAGCGCCGGCAGCGATCATACGCACCAACACATCCTCCGGTGTGATGGTTGTTTTCGGGAGCGGGCCGATGGGGTCGGTGGGTGCACGCGCGGGCGGCGTGGGTGCTGCAAGTGGCAGAGTATGAGCGGTGAGCATGGGCATCGAGTGCCTGTTGATCGTCTTGCCGCAGGCGCTCTACCTCTGCCGAGATCCACTCGATCACGCACGGTGGGCACGGCCTGCTCAAGCCGTCAAAGGCGAGGGCGGCGGGTGGTCTTCCTCGACGACGGCCTCAGCGCAATCAAGGACAACCAAGGGGGTGATGGCGATGGTGCCGTCGGTGGCGTTCATCGTGCTGGAACAGCTGTGCGGAGCCGACGAGGAGGGTTCTGACGGTGACATGTCCACCTTTGGCACGCTCCTCTGCTTGACGGCAGCAACATCATGGAGGTCGGCCGTCAAATTCTTGCCAGCAACGCTGCTAGCGTGATGGCGGGCGATCCAGACGCTGCTGTCTGTGGCTCATCCGACCGCGGCGGAGGATGATGGGGGGGCAGTTGGAGACGACAGCGAGGATGCGGTTGGGGTCGGAGGGGTGGGGGATGGAGAGGCCGGCGTGGTTGGCAATGGTGATGCGGATGGAGTTGTTGCGTGGGTGGGTGGAGGTGGAGCGGCGGGCGTGGAGCCAGAAGGAGAAAGGGTGGCGGGCGTGGAGGGTGTAGCCGGTGGGGGAGGGGTGCCACTCGAACGTCTCGCCGGAGTATGAGTGGGAGACCAGGTCAGGCAGCTGGCCATCCGCACTCGGCAGCGCAATCACGCCCTCCACACCGTAGGTGTGGCCCTTCAGCACCTCACAGGAGTCCCTGTTCGCGGTGTACCGCATGGCGCCCGTCCTGTCGTCCGCAGCATGCCACACCCGCATCGTGTTGTCGAGCGACCACGAGACCAGGACAGGCAGCTGGCCATCCGCACTCGGCAGCGCAATCACACCCCGCACATACTCGGTGTGGCCCTCCAGCACCTCGCAGGAGGCAGTGTCCGCGGTGTACCGCATGGCCTCCGTCCCGTCGTCCGCAGCATGCCACATCCGGATCGTCCTGTCCTCCGACCACGAGACCAGGACAGGCGGCTGGCCATGCGCACTCGACAGCGCAATCACACCCTGCACATCGCTGGTGTGGCCCTCTAGCACCTCACAGGAGGCACTGTCCGCGGTGTACCGCATGGTGCCCGTCCCGTCGTCCGCAGCATGCCACACCCGGATCGTGTAGTCCCCCGACCACGAGACCAGGACCGGCAGCTGGCCATCCGCACTCGGCAGCGCAATCACACCCCACACATACTTGGTGTGGCCCTCCAGCACCTCACAGGACGCACTGTCCGCGGTGTACCGCATGGCGCCCGTCCCGTCGTCCGCAGGATACCACACCCGGATCGTGTTGTCGAGCGACCACGAGACCAGGACAGGCAGCTGGCCATCCGCACTCGGCAGCGCAATCACACCCAGCACATACTTGGTGTGGCCATCTAGCACCTCACAGGACGCACTGTCCGCGGTGTACCGCATGGTGCCCGTCCCGTCGTCCGCAGGATACCACACCCGGATCGTGTAGTCCCCCGACCACGAGACCAGGACCGGCAGCTGGCCATCCGCACTCGGCAGCGCAATCACACCCCACACATGGCTAGTGTGGCCCTCCAGTACCTCACAGGACGCACTGTCCGCGGTGTACCGCATGGCGCCCATCCCGTCGTCCGCAGCATGCCACACCCGAATCGTGTTGTTGTCTCTCGACCACGAGACCAGGACAGGCAGCTGGCCATCCGCACTCGGCAGCGCAATCACACCCCACACATGGCTAGTGTGGCCCTCCAGCACCTCACAGGACGCACTGTCCGCGGTGTACCGCATGGCGCCCATCCCGTCGTCCGCAGCATGCCACACCCGAATCGTGTTGTTGTCTCTCGACCACGAGACCAGGACAGGCAGCTGGCCATCCGCACTCGGCAGCGCAATCACACCCTTCACATACTTGGTGTGGCCCTCCAGTACCTCACAGGACGCACTGTCCGCGGTGTACCGCATGGCGCCCATCCCGTCGTCCGCAGCATGCCACACCCGAATCGTGTTGTTGTCTCTCGACCACGAGACCAGGACAGGCAGCTGGCCATCCGCACTCGGCAGCGCAATCACACCCTGCACATCGCTGGTGTGGCCCTCCAGCACCTCCACGCGTTCACCAGTTTGCACGTCAAGTACGTCCACATTGTTCCCACATCCACCAGCAACCAGCGAGCCACCGATGTTGATGACATTGCCGGACGAGCCATCAAAGCGAAAGCGCTCAGCACCACGATGCGTGACAGGGTCCACGGCTCTCGATGGAATGAGAGCCCCAGACGGGACATCTTCGCTCACAGCAGCAACCAGGTCCTTCACCGCTTTGGACGCCTTGCCATAGGCAAGTCGCGCAACGAGCTCGGTTTCGATTTGCGACTTGCCCTTCTCAATGATGTCGCGTGAGAGCGACAGCGCACGCTCGACCTCGTCAACGTCTTTGGCTCCTTCACGGCCGAGGCGCACAACACAACGCAGATCATTGAGGAGGCCACCAAGCGAGTCGTTTGCGCGGGCATTCATCCACGGCCAGGAGAGAGCAACGGCAACGGCGGCATGGTTCGCTCCGGCTGCAATTAGGTGGGAAATACCGTGGGTGATGATCCAATCGGAGGCAGTGCCAGAGGTCATGGTCTCCTTAGCGGACTCTGGCGTGGCGCCAGGCGGAGGCACCCCGGCGACAACGGCGAGGTGACGGGCAGGAAGGGAAGGGATGTCGTCAAAGCACACCTCTAGCCGATGGCGAATGTACTCGAGGTGCAGATCGTGCAGCTCGACTACGGTTATGGTGCCGCCATCCGTGGCAACGACGCGCAGCAACGACGTCTTGGCGAGGGCATCGAGGGCCCTAGCAAACTTGATATTGCTTGCGTCGATCGCGAAGCGGAAGTTGGCGACGTCGATGGGCGCGTCTGATGGAAAGACGGCGAGCATGGCGTAAATAGCCAGCGCCACCTTGCGGACACGCTTGGGGATGGCACCGCCGAGGGTCCAAGTGATGATGTCAAAAATGTGGGCGTACTTGGCGTCCGATCCGCCGCAATCATCGCGGTGCTCATCCATGGCAAGCTCAGTTGCATCTGCGGCGTCCTCAACAGCGTCGTCAAGCGCAGCCTCGCCAGAAATAGACGAGCCAAGGACGGCGAGGGCGAGGGCATGGCCACGGCAAAAGGTCGCGAGGGAGACGATGCGGGAATCGTTGAGAGCAAGGGTATTTGCCCACTCAGGTGAACCCTTGGCGAGGTAGTTGCGAAGGACAACAGCAGCGTCGTCCGGGGCAAAGGTACCGAGCTCGATGGAGGAGGCGGAGTTGGTAGCAACAGCGGCGTTACGCGAGGTGACGAGGACGGCATGCGGGGCTGCGATGTGGTTGGTAAAGACGGAGGCCTGGCGGGTGGTCCACGCATCGTCGAGGATGAGCAGGATGCGGGTGCCGGCGGCGGCGAGGGACCGGGTCTTGGCAGCAAGAATGGGTTGGAGGTCATTGAGGCCAGCTTGTGCATCGATTGCGCAACCGAGGCCTTGCTTCAGGAAGTAGGACATGCGGCTGGCAATGGCGATGGGAGATGTCTTGTCCTCACCGAGAGGGAGCCAGAAGACGGAGAAGACCGAGGTGATGGCGGGATGGATGGCGACATCGGCAGCGAGTGACGACTTGCCGACGCCACCGAGCCCGTTGACACCGACGACTGAGACGTTGTTCGCACCAAGAAGGACATTAATGACCGCATCACGAGTGTCAGGGAGCGGGTAGTACTCGGATGGGTTAGGTGGCGGCGGCATGGGCGAGGGGCGGAGGGGTGAACTGGGAACAATGGCCTGGATGCGGTCGGCAAGATCGTCGACCATGTCAACCACGCTGTCGCGAGCCGGGGAGTACGGAGCGAGGCCGCGCTCGAGGAGGGCGTAGAGAGTGCCGATGCGGGCGACTTTGAGCTCGGGCGTGAGTTCATCGTGTTCCCAGAGATCCGTGAATCGACGGTTGTTCGGGATCTGCGGCGGGAAAGCCGCCGCCATGTACGCCAGTAGAGGGTGGCTGGCATCCCGCGGGCCGTCACGCCATGCCGGCGACGAGACGGTCTCGAGCGAGAGCTCAGCGTCGGCAAAAACCGGAAAGACCTTGCAAGTCGGATCAGCGAGGGCTGCGTTGGCCTCTGCGATGGCCCACCGTGTGACGATTGAGTACTTTGAGACAACGACGACCACAACGTGTGAGTCACGGGCAAACCGGGCGCAGTCTGCGGGATCTTGGACAATCATGGCGTCGAGCGACTTGACGTCGAGAAAGACGCGCAGACCGAGGGCAACGAGCTTGTCGCGGAGCGAGAGCATGAGCCCCTTGTCGTTGGAGCCGTGGCAGAGGAAGACATCGTATGACTTGGTGGAGGACGGCCCGGCTGGTGACGATGACGTCGCTTCGATATGCATGTTCTGGGGGACTGCGGAGGAAAGGGTGGCCGAGCTGGCCGAGCTGGCGTTGGCGGTGAGCAGCGGGCGGGGGCGCTTGGCGGCTCGCCCGGGGTCGGCCGGTTGCCCTGCGCGGCGCTTGGCAGAACCCTGCTGCACTGGGGGGGGGTCCCATGAGTTCCCTGGGGCGGGGTCCATGGGCACAGTGAGAGGGGTGTGCGGAGTGTGCGGTAGGTGTGACGGCGAGGGCGACAGGCGGCGTTTGGGCGATTTTTTGGATATCGGGCGAGTGCCGGGGGAAGGGCCGGGGGAGAAGGTATGATTATTTCAATGAGAGTTAATTGATGGGGCTGGGCATGATTAGTTGAACGAGAAATGATTGATGTGGCGATGGTGGGGCCAGGGGGGGTGCATGCAAGCAAGGAGGGTGTGTAGTTGGGCAAAAGAAAAAAGAATGCGTTACTCGGTATTCCCGTGTGGTCCCCCACCACAGTACTAA